TACAGAGAAAAACCCAACAATCATATGACCCCCTGTGAGCAAGCACTTTGGCGACAGTGGGAAGGAAAAACTCCCTTTTAACAGGAAGAAACCTCGGGCAGAACCAGGCTCAGGAGGGGGCGGGGCCATCTGCCGAGTTGTCCCTTCTCTATTCATTATTCTTACTCTCCATGTGTCTCTCCCAGCCTACATTGAGGACTTGGCTCGTAGCGTGGAGCAGAGCAGACGTCTGATCATCGTTTTAACGCCAGAGTTTGTCGCCAAAAGAGGCTGGAGCATCTTCCAGATAGAGACACGCCTCCACTCCATGCTTGTTACTGGGGAGATCAAGGTATGGATTCAGAGGTCAAAGGTAAAAATCTAGAGGACAGACATTTTTCCAACTTGATTGCATTATTATTCTTAACAGTTTGAAAAAAGAAGGCAAGAAGACTTCTTTAGGTTTGTGAAGACCTTTGACCTCACAAGAGGTTTCTTTAGTTAAGGTGGAGAGTCCCAGGTATTTAAACGCTAGCTGTGGTTGTTGACCCACTATTGATCATGTGAGTCATCAGATGAATTAAAGCCAAAAATAAGGATAAAACCACTGTGGGACTTTATCCCACCCCATCATGTGACCTATTGAGGTCGTCTGAGTATGATTTGGGTGTTTAAGCATCTGGATCTCAAAACTTCATTGCAGGTGGCTGATAACTGAGAGACGACCTCTACTAGGGGTTAAATACTTGGAGCTGCCCACCTTTTGTTTTTAGAACTAAAGAAGCCGCTTGAATAAGAGGTGAAATATCTTTACAAATTTAAAGAAGTTCATTCACCTTCTGTGTTCAAGCTCTTACTACTACCATAACCTGGATTACTGAGAACCTACCCGGACATTGCATTATTACATATGGAGAGTTTTGATGGGGAAGGTCTTCTGTTTAGAAATCTCTCCGTGTTCTAGGTGATCATGATAGAGTGTGCAGACCTGAAGAATGTCATCAACTACCAAGAGGTGGAGGCACTTAAACATACCATCAAGGTATACAGAAAGGGCGGATGAATGAAAGGATGGAGAGTTTATGGGGTGACCTGAAGAGTTATCACCGGCCAGAATGGCAAAATCTTTTTTTTTTGTAATTTGTCTCCTTCTCTTCAGGTTTTATCCATCATCAAGTGGAGGGGTCCTAAGAGCAATGAGCTGTCATCTAAGTTTTGGAAACAGGTGGTCTACGATATGCCCGCTAAACGCAGAGAGACACTGTCCAGACGTCAGGTACACTGCGTCTTTTTTCATGTATTCTCGATATACTTTATCTTTCTACAGTGGTATAGCCTCCACTCTGGGACTGATTTATGACCTCTGAAAAGAAATGTCATAAAAAAAAGCAAGTCTACAATACATGTGCGACTATAAGTGATAAAAACATTTTGGATAGCATGTGAATTTGTTCATGTATCATTATAGAAACCCTTAAACTCAGACATCTTGATCTATACCTATATTAATAATGTCCATTTCATGCATGGGAGCCAAAAAATTCTACTGAGATGTACTCTTTCCTTGGGCGCATTCAAACAGGCAGATGGCCTTTAAAATGTCTGCAAAACACAGGTAATGTATTAAAATTGGAATCACAGCAAAGCAAAATGTGTAGATGTTTACCACGCCTCAGGTTGTGTATGCCCTGATTAGCAAATAAATGTTTCCTGCTGCTTTCTTTCCTGAAGAATGATGCCACACAGAGAATATTAACAACAACTGCAACAGCGTGGTGATATCATTCTAATGTCTTCTTCTACTCTAATAATTGATGTCATGGAATCTAGATGGTGTTTAAGTGTGTAAAGGTGTGTCAAATTATTTTATGCACCAGGGCTTAGATTATGCTACTCACCCATAGGTGGAAACTCTGAATAAAGTTGTTGAATGATTGTATGTCTCTCTGCGTTGACCTTGCAAAAGACTGTCAGCAAAGAAAGACTCCAGCACCCCATAACCTCCAACAGAGGGAGGGAGGATGGATGGATGGAATCGATGGATCGAATTTTGACTCACTGTTGGAGGAATCTCTGTGTTAACAGGTAATGGATTCTGGTGAACAGGGCCTCTTTGGTGACCTACAGACCACAGTCTCCACTATTGCCATGACAACCACTTCTGCCTCCCTGGTGCCCCCTAATGAGAGTCGGCATGGACACCATCAGGTCAGCACATGTCTTTTAGTTCGAACTTTTATTAATTAGTAGATGTTTTTTCTCAAATCAGTGACCTTGGCACTGCACTGTGACAACATTAATCTTAAAAACACAGACTTAGTTGGTCGTTGTTACACCTGTAAACAATTTTTTCCTGAACTTTGGGCTACCTTGTGAGAGCAGATGATCAGGAACAATGCATTGTTACCTGTTTGATAGGACAGGAAAGAAGGAATGTTGAGCTCCAGCATCTGGGGGAGGCCATGCAATGACTGATAGTGTTTCATTGTGCATTTTTCTATCCAGGTCCACTTTTACTGGACTTTTACAGTGTGTTTGGGATCAGTATCATACTGAAAAAGCCAGTGCCAGTCAAATGCTTTCAAGATGGTTTTTACATGGTGGATCAAAATCTGACTGTACTTTTCTGCATTTGTAATTCCATCAATTTTAAAAAAGCTCTCCAACATCACTGGCTGATATGCAGCCTCAAACCATGACGGAGCCTCCACCAGGTTTTACCGGTGACTGTAGCCACTCACTTTTGTACATACTGATAACAATTTGAACCATTTCACATTTGAATTCAAGTCCTCTTGCCAATGATTTGTAGTCCAATTTTGGGTAATTTGCCATACCTCAATTTTTCTCCCTGTCTCCATCCCTTACCAATGACTTTCTTAGAGCCATCCTTCCACTAAGACCATTTCTGATGAGGCTTTGGCTTTGGTCACCAGGACATTAAAACTGCATGTATATAACCACCAGTCAACTCTAATAAAAACTGAATAAAAAGTTTTCTGACTTTGTCCCATGATAAAGTTTTACAAGTTTTTCTACCACCAGTTCAGTTCATAATTCTTTGACTGCCATGGATCTCTCTTTAATGTTTGTGACTATGTTCTGACTGTTTCTGTACTTCTTATGTTTCCACTGCTGTGTTTTCAAATGTACAGTTTGGACTAGAAAGTTTGTTTCAGTTGTTTAAAACTTGCCTTTGAATTCATATCAGACGGAATTCGGGGATTTCACGTTTTCCTGTGTTTAGCTCTATTTTGAAAAATAAGTGAAACTCGAGCTTGAATTATTTTAACACATTACACTTAAGTTAATTTACATTTATTTCATTAATTTACAATTATCTTGTTTTCATAGTTCACCCAGAAGCTAACAGAAGTCTACAAACAGCATTTTCATGATGAATGCTTCATATTTAGTTGCCTCTTGCAATAATGCTGAAGCTAATGAAAGTTACTAGAAAGTCATGTCTTTTACACACAGGTCGCCTTGGCAACAGAGATCCCTGACTACAACCAGATGACCTTGCCATTAGGAGGGGGTCACAGTGCTACAGCAGCTCAAATGCGGCATTTCTGCCGCAGCTATGAGTTTCAACTTCCCCCACAGCCCTCACCCCCACTTCCACCTCCCTCCACGGTGCAGTTCTCCACTCTGGGCCCCGGGGGGCGCCATGTCTATTGCAATATCCCTATGACACTGCTGAATGGACAGGTGGGAGAAAAGACTAAGCCACTTATACGTATGATGTTCTTAGTTAGTCCCCAGCACCCAACATCAGCACAGTGTATCCTTTTCTAAAGTTTGCTTGCTGTTATCTGTTTGCATGTACTCAGAGCTTAAACACAATAAAAATAAATCCTCTCTTCTCCCCAGGGGTTCAGAGCAGTTCACTGGGGAACAAGAGGTCTGTTTGAATAAAAGAGAATATAGAAAGAAAACAATATCTTCATATCATCTAGCCTGAAAACATGCTTATTCTAACAGACTGGGAAACGAAATGCAGTACAGTTCTTATGTTTAAGTCAAGGCACAGTATTGGCATGCAATATTTTGTCATACCATAAAATGAAGCACCATTATATGGCAAGGTTAGTGCTAATCATGGTGGTGCTGTGTGTTTCCCAGGTGCAACAGAGCAATACCCTTGGGAAGAAGCCAGAACTCCACCTGAACAGCACCTTTGTACCCCTCACCAGCAGAGAACTAAGCTCTGACATCTGGTAGTTGGACTTCTCAGCTGATACTGGAATACAGACTGCTTTTCACTGGATTTGTGTAGACTGGCGGGTCGTCTGGTTTTCATCAGGTTTTTGGACTGTGTGCAGACTTGGCGTTGGACTGCCCATCGACTGCTTTTGGGCTACTCCTTCCCAGCTGTGAATAAAAGACTACCGAAAGACCGCAGAAGGCTTGGTGTCACACTTATTAGGAGAGTGGTTGTAAACTGTTTACAGAAAGACTGGGATTATACAAAGGATTGCACTCTGATTTTGGACCTATTACCTGGTAACAGGCTGATGCCAGCTGGAATGTACACTGCTGGCATGACCATGTGTCCTTGACATACTGGCAAAAAGTTCCTGACTGGTCATGCTGAGTTTGTGGAAAGGAATTAGGAAACTTAAGAACTAGAGAAGTTAACGAAGGCATCCTGAGTACTTCAATCGTGGGTATCCACCGTCTGTAGTACTCTATTTGTTCAACAGGCAGGCAGGTTGGATCTTGGAGCACTAAAACAGCACCTTTTAAGTCTGCTCACAAACCAGCTGCTGTGAAAACCAGTTGACTTGTCAGCTCAGACAAACAAGACGTAGCGTAATCTAAGAATGCCAATTGATCTACTTATGCGAGTTCTCATCTACCTGTTGACTAGGTGGCTTGTCGGGCAGACAAAGCAGACATCAAGCAATGATTTTGGAATACCAGACCACCTTAAATCAACTAGTCAACCTCTTGAAATATTGCTCTACAGCAAGCTAGCTACCTGGTTTGGCTCTCAGGAGCTGAACTAGACTTGAGAAATGTTTTTCAGCAAGAAAAACAAGAGGGGGTGACACATAAAGCGAAGGCTGAAGCTGCTTAATGACTGAGAAAGCACAGTTAGGCAGAAACTAGCTAGTTGCATAGACTAGTTGGCTGAAAGAATAGCTAGTACTTGAGGTAAGTGTGTTTAAGGGCACAGCAAGACTGGAAACCAGCCAGTCCATCACCAACAGATGAACTGTCAGATTTAACACCAAGCTAAAAGCATAAAGGACTTGGCTTTTTTCTATTTGCATGACCACCCATTTAGATTAAAAAAAAGAATAATAATCAAACAAACATAGATAAAAGAGTAAATGACACAATCATTTGTCGAAGCCTCTTTTAATATGGAGGGTATAAACATCCTATGTTGATACAGTATATTTGTTTTCTGTCTGGCCATGATTCAATGATAAAAACTGATAGAGGAAAAAAAGGAGGTGTCCCTCCAAAAACATTTGGGTTATTTATTTTGTCACGTTTTATTTAAGGGTTTTATCCTTTTAGAAGGTTGTTGAGAATTTTTACCAGGCTTTGTTTTTACTGTCTGTTTGTTACAATAATCTTTGTACAGCTTCCATAACCTCTGTATAGACCTATACATGACAGTGATTTGTTCCCTACAGTTTTTGTTAACACTCACATTAAGTGTTCTCTGATGGCTCCACAGCCACTTTTTTTGTTGCCTTTGTTGTGTTTCTCTTTTCATCGATGGATGGATGTCTTACGGCAGTACGACCCTGCTAACGGACTGATATTTTGAACCTTACCACTACCAGTCAGCCAAAAGGGGGCTTCACTGTATAAAAAGCTGTACTCCGAGCTGAATCAGACCACATTCTTCTTTGTGAGCTTTAAAAAAGAAAAACAAGATTATTAAGATAATATTTAAGCAAAGTGGGTAATGTTTTGAATTTACACAGAGCTACTGTCATTGTCTTATTAGAACCAATGAATTCTGGATATTTGAGATTGTTTGATACAATAATTAATTATTTCAGTTGTTATATTCAATGGCAATATACAGTCTAGTGGTTGTCTTTTAATTTCTGACTATTTCTTTAACTATTCTTTGGATATATTGGTTGAATAATTTAACTGCGAGCAAATAAAACTTATATGAGTTGTTTTATAGATTTGTTTTATAGATTCACTGTTGTCTGACATGGTCAACTTTTTTCCTCTTTTTTTTTTTTCCTGGACAACTATTTTTTCTCATTTTGTTTTTATTGCTTAACCAGATGTGATTTCGCAAGCGGTCTGGCATTTCCTCCAACTGTCAGCTTACTTTGCTTCACCCTTGTCACGAATCCTTTTCTTCGAATTGCACTTCTCATGGCTTTATCCTCTTCTCCAATGGTCACTTAAATTTCCTTGTAAGCTGTTAGCTTACTCAGTGACACATAGTTCTTTGCCCAGTGTCGAAAGGCATGAACTAAAACATTTGCCTTATCCAAATTTTCAAGATGCACTGCATGGAGTTGAGCACGAGGAGTGAAGCTGTCCAACAGGCCTGGAGCAAGCAGGTTTTTAGAGCGCCTGAGACGCACTGAGATGGCGTTTTCGCGGAAGGAAAACGCAGCGTTTTCAAAACGCTCTCGAAAACACATACATTTGGGTGCCGTCATGTGACCAATTATACTAAGATAGTGGAGGGCAGCAGTTGTTTTGTTTGCTCTCAATTTCGACAGCCCTGTTAAAGATTAATATCAGTCTGTACATGCTCCAGGTAGCATTTCTTCAAATTCTTTAATTCTCACTCGCTTTTGCAACTTTGTACTTTTGTGTTACTCGCAGCAACAACTCCACCTCATTGTTAGTCCATTTAAAAAACTCGGTGCTTTTCCTCGACCTTTTGCCGCAACGGTTCAAAGAGCCAGAAAGTAAATAAACGACAGACAGAAATGAGGCAGGTCGAATCTTCTTGCGTTTCACACATGCGCAGTACTGGGACATAGGCGTTTTCATCCATTTCAATGTGGACACACAACTCTGTGAAAACGACTGAAAACACTAGTGTGGATGTGGAGTGTTTTCAGACGGAAACGCAGTTTTCAAATCTATCCGGGCTAGTGTGGACGTAGCCTCAGGCTGCAATTGCGGCACTTCACCGGGATCAACACTATCAACAGTAGCTCCCCACCTTTTCAAGGGACCAAGTGAGTATTGCAAAGGACCCACGGCTACACCACATATTTGGCGCACCAAAATGTACAGTGAAGGTGTGCTGGGAACATCTAGCAGAGGCCCCGGTCCGCAAGATCTTCAACTCACACCTCCAGCAGAGCTTCAACAGCATTCCCAGGGAGACTGGGGACATTGAGTCCTGTTCAGCTCCTCCATTGCAGAAGCCGCAGCACTGAGCTGCAGCCACAAGGTAGTTGGTGCCTGTCGTGGTGGTAACCAAGCCACCAAGCTGAAGAAGGAGTCCTACTGGGCTTGGTTAGCCTGTGGGACTCCGGCAGCTGATAGGTAGATAGATAGGCCAAGCGGGCGGTGGCGGAAGCAAAAACTCGGGTGTGGGAGGAGTTCGGAGAGGCCATGGAAAAAGACTTTCGGACTACCTCGAAGAGATTCTGGCAAACGGTCAGGCAACTAAGGAGGGGAAAGCGGTGTTCAACCTGCACTGTGTGTAGTGTGGGTGGAGTGCTGTTGACTGAGAAAATTGTCAGGCGGTGGAAGGAATACTTCGAGGACCTCCTTAATCCCACTGACACGTCTTCCGAGGAGGAAGCAGAGTCTGGG